GAGACATCCTCTGCACGCTGTACTGTGTGTTCACCACCCCAGCTCCATCCCAGTCTCTCAGGTCTGTGAGGGCAGCGGCGGGCCAGGCACCAGTTCAGGCCTTGTTGGGTAGCAGCTGGGCTCAGCCTGAATGACTCGGAGGAGCTGTCAGAGCTCCTGCTGATGCTTAAGTGGGGAAATCTCATTGACATCTTTTTTTTTATTATTTAGATTATGTGCGTGGATAGTTTCAGCAAGACTTGTATTGTTGGCCTTATTGGAGAAACTTGGGTCCGCGCCAGTGTTTCTTTAACTTTAAAAGTCACTGCCGACCCCTCAAAAGAAGCTAATAGGCCATGAAAAGACGTGCGTGTCATTGATCATTAGGGAAAATGCAAATCAAAACCGCAGTGAGAGATCGTCCCATACCTGGAGGATGGCCACTTGGAAATGCAGCAACAGGAAAGTCACACGCGTTGGTGCAGATGCAGAAAAATCAGAACCCGCTGTACTGCTGATGGGAGTGTAAAACGGTGCAGCTGCTGTGGAAACAGCATGGCGGCACCTCAGAACATTACAACTAGAACTGCCGTGTGACCCAGCGACCCTGCCTCTGGGTGTGAGCTCAGAAGAGTTGAAAGCAGGGTCTCCAGGAGGTTGTACACACCCGTGTAGAGCAGCATTGTTGACAGCAGACAGCAGGTTGAAAGCTGTCCGAGGGTCTCTTGATGGATGAATGTGTGGTAGATACATACAATGGCGTGTCATTTAACCTTTAAAAACCAGGACATTCCGACCCTTGCTACAACATGGATGGACCTTGAAGACATCACACAAAGTGAAATAATCCGGTTCCTCAAGCACAGATGCTGTACGATTCTACGTGCATGAGGCACCCAGAGCAGGCAGAGTCCTAGAGACAGAAAATAGGATGTTGCGCCCCAGGGGCCGGGGGCCACGGAGACAGAGGGGCAGGGCATTGCGTAATGGAGATGGAGCTTTAGTTTTGCCAGACGAAAAGAGATTTCAAGACCGATCACATAACAATATGAATGTACTTAACAGTACTAAGTGTACATTTCAAAACAATTAAGATGGTACATATTATGTGTGTTTTACCACAATTACAAATACTTCTTCAGTTTTATTGTGAAATCACTGATGCTCATCACTGTGTAAGTTTAGCACAAACAGCATGATGATTTGATTACATGCATCGTGAAATGATTACCACAGGAGTTTTAACTAATGCATCTTCTGAGACACATACAATAAAAAGAAAAACCAAACAATTTTTCTCCTTGTGATGAGGACTCAGGATTTACTCTCTTAACTTTCCTCTATATCCTACAGCAGTGTTAGTCATCACGCTGTATGTTACAACCCTCGTACTTACCTTATAACTTGAAGTTTGTACCTTTTGACCATCTTGCTCCAATTTCCCCTCTCCCCACCCTCTGCCTCTGGAAATAAGTCTGATTTCCTTTTCTGTGAGTTTGTGTTTTTTCCCAGATTCCACACATATGTGAGATTGTATAGTATTTGTCTTTTTCGGACTTAATTCACTTAGCATATTGCCTTAGAGGTTCATCCATATTGTTGCAAAGGGTAGGATTTCCTTTTTTATGGCTGAGTAATGTTCCATTGTGTGTGTGTGTGTGTGTGTGTAACACAAGTTCTTTATTTATCAGTGGACACTTAGGTTGTTTCTGTTTTCTTGTCTATTGTAAGTAATTCTGCTGTAGACATGGTAGGGCAGATATCTTTTCAAGTTAGTGTCTTCATTTCCTCTGGATATATGCCCAGAAGAGGAATTGCTGAATTAATGGTGATTTCATTGTAAAATTTTTTGAGGATCCTTCGTACCATTGTTCATAGCAGCTGCACCAATTTGCAATCTCACTAACACTGTACAAGGATTCCCTTTACTCCACATCCATGCTGGGGATGAGGTGACTGCTCATTGTGGGTTTAATTTGCATTTCCCTGATGACTAGTGATGTTGAACATCTTGTGTGTATCTGTTGGCCTTTTATGTGTCTTTTTGTAGAAGTGTCTATTCAGATCTTTTGCCCTTTTTTAAATCGGGTTATTGGGAGTGTTGTGTGTGTGTGGTTTTGGATAGTGAACCTATGAGTTCTTCATATATTTTCGATATTAACCCCTTATCAGGAATATAGTTTGCAAATGTTTCCCCCATTCTGTAGGTTGTCTTTTCATTTTGTTGATGGTTTTTCTTGCTGTGCAGAAGTTTTTTTAGTTTGATAAAGTCCCACTTGTTTATTTTTTATTTTGTTGCTTGTGCTTTTGGTGTCTATCCAAAAAACCATTGTCAAGACCAATGTCAAGGAGCTTACTACTTATGCTTTCTTCTAGGGATGTCATAGTTTCACATCTTATACTTACGTCTTTCATTTTGCGTTTTTGTGACTGGCATAAGATACAGGCCCATTTTTATTTTTTTACATGTGAATGTTAATTATCCAACACCTTTTTCTAAAAAGACTGTCTTTTCTCTATTGAATATTCTTAGCTACCTTGTCAAATATTCGTTGGCCTTCTATACCTGGATTTATTTCTGGGCCCTTGATTCTGTACCATTGATTTGTTTGTTTGTTTTTATGCCAATGTCATACTAGTTAGGTGACTGTAGCTTTATACAGTAACTTGAAATCAGGCATTGTGGCACCTTCTGCCCTGTTCTTCTTTATCAGGATTTCTTTGGCCATTTGGGGCCATTTGGGGTCATTTTTGGTCTCACATAAATTTCAGGAGTATTTCTTTTCTACTTCTTTAAAAACTGCTATTGGAATCTTGATGAGGATTGCATCAAATCTTTAGATACCTTTGATAGTATTGACACGTTAACAATATTAATTCTTCTAGTGCCTGAACCCAGGATACCTTTCCATATATTTGTCTTCATCTATTTCTTTCATCTATTGTCTTGTAGCTTCCAGGATAGAGACCTTTCACTTCTTCGGTGAATTTTATTTTTAGGTATTTTATTGTTTTTTATGCTATTATAAACTGGGTAGATTTCTTCAGTTCTTTTCTGGAAAACTTATTAGTGTGTAGAAACACAATGGATTTTTGTGTGTAAATTTTGTGTCCTGCATAATCTAATAGATATTTGGTTGAGTCTTTAGGACATTCTATATGTAATCTCATGTCATCTGCAAATACAGACAGTTTTACTTCTTCCTTTCCAATTCTGATCTTTTCTTTCTTTTTCTTGCTTGGTTGTTTAGCTAGGACTTCTAGCACTCTGTGGAATAGCAGTGGTGAGAGTAGCATCTTCTCTTGCTCCTGATCTCAGAGGAAAAACTTTCAACCATTCACCATTGAGTATGAAGTTAGCTGTGGGCTTATCATATATGTCCCTTATTATGTTGAGATATATTATTTCTTCTGTGTCTAATTTGTTAAGAATTTTTATCATGAATGGATGTTGAATTTTGTCAAATTCAACATAATTTTTTTGTCAATTCAGCATAATTACTCTGTCTATTGAGATGGTCACATGATTTTTGTCTTTTATTCTTTTAATGTGATGTATCACACTGATTGATTTGTATACGTTGAACCATCCTTGCATCCCAGGGATAAATTCTACTTGATTATGGTATGTGATCCTTTTAATGTACTGCTGAGTTTTGTTTGCTAGTATTTTATTAAGAATTTTTGCCCTGGCTGGTGTGGCTCAGTGGATAGGAGTGCTGGCCTGAGAACCAAAGGGTCACCAGTTTGATTCCCAGTCTGGGAATGTGCCTGGATTGCAGGCCGTGTCCCCAGTGAGGGGCACTCGAGAGGCAAGCACACATTGATGTTTCTCTCCTTTTCTTTCTCCTTCCCTTCCTCTGTCTAAAAATAAATAAATAAAATGTTTTTTTTAAAAAGAAATGGTGATTTAAAATAAAAAAGAATGTTTGCCTCTGTATTTATCAGGGATATTGGCCTGTAGTTGTTCTTTCTAGTTTTTCTGGCTTTGGTATCAGGGTATTGCTGGCCTTGTAAAATGAGTTTGGAAATATTCCCTTCTCTTTGACTTTTCTTGGAAGAGTTTGGAAAGGATTGATATTCATTCTCTTTAAATGTTTGGTAAAATTCACTGGTGAAGCCATCTGGTCCTGGGCTTTTATGTGTTGGAAGATTTTTTTCTTACTGATTCATTCTCCTTACTAGTAATTGGTGTGTTTAGATTTTCTATTTCTTCCAGATTCAACCGTGGTAAGTTGTTCGTTTCTACAGCTTTTCCATTTCTTCCAGGTTGTCCAGTTTGTCAGTGTATAGTTGTTCCTCATTCTTTTTTTTTTTTTTAAGAACAAAAAATCCACTATTGAACCCTCACAGCTCTGCCTTCTATGTCTGCAGAGAAAAGAAAGGCTTTGTGTCCTGGCAGCGACTCCTGCCAGATGGCAGCGCCCCCAGCCGGCGCCCCCTCCCCTCGCAGGCGGGCCTCCTGCCCCTACTCCTTGGGCAGCGTGGCCCAAACATGTGCTTGAGAAAAACCGGTCCTCTCATTGATGGGGTTGACTTCCACGGCACAAGTTATTCTAGCCAAGGACTATTTCGCTGTGTTTCAGCACTTTGGGCTTGGTTCTCGCAGCTTCGTCAAACAGAGAACAATGAGCTTTCTTGTCATGTCAGGATGATGCTCCCGCAATGTTCCCATGCGGTGAGCCTGAGAGTTGTTTTCCTCGTGGTGGTGACAGATGAGCCGTGACTCACCCCGGCGCTTTCACCTGCTCACCCCTGAAACAAAGGCGTGCCTTTCACTGCTGCCTGCGTGTTGAGCTAATGGCCTTTACACGATTGGATGGGCAGTTCTGGCTTCCTTTACATCTTCCAAACAACCTGATGAGTCAGGCAGTTCACAGACGTTTCATTTATTATTTTGACAGTGAAATCTGCATACAGCAGTCATCTCTTTAGGTATTTTACATTAAGCCCTTGTTTTTATTTTGCGGGGGGAACTGGTGTAAAATGCTTGACAGAGTTTCTCTGCTTCTGTGTTTCAGGGTCGCTCCATGGACTCGCTTCCTGCCCTTGTTAACCATGCTGCCTTGCTCCCAGGACCACGCAGAGCCGACTGACCAGTAGTGTCCCTCAGCGCACAGGTGGGACTGCAGGTAAACCCAGCCGTGTGCCTTGGGCTTCACCGTCAAGCTGTAAGACTGTGATTAAAGATAACGAATAAAGGTTTCATGACTTGGTCTGGTTATTATTGTTTTAAAATGTGTTTGACAGCCACCAACAAAGAGAAGCCAGTCTATTTGACTTTGTTTTTGTGGCTGTACATTTTCTGTATAAAGGAGGTAGAATCCTACTAAATATATTTGGAAACATACCTGGAAGCCTCAGCTCCAGCTTTACTAAAGAGGGGGGACAGTTTGGATCAAATTTCCCTGTGAGTTTGGCCTCACTGATGGACTCACTGAGAAAATCTCTACGAAAGCTTTAGAGATTTGTTTTATTGACATGTTTTTCTGCCCCAAACGAGAACTTTTATCCTCCCTCCCTTTTCATCTCAGCCTAGTTTTTGAGGACTTCTAGCCCTTTGTTTTGTGGGATTTCTACTCTGTGGGACCTAGGAAATCTGGAGTTATGTCATAACTGTGGTAGTTTTTAGAGCAGCGATCTCTTACATTGGTATGCAGTACATGCATCATGAAAATGTATCTCCCTGGTCATTGAGAAGTCACAGAGAATAGGTATTTCCCCCTCATGTTTCCCTGCAAGAATCACTGATTCAAAACCTCCCAACACCAGGCCTAACAGAGGTCACTGCTTTATGCTATTTTTATGCCAGTTCAATTTCTAGATTAACCTCATACAGCAAATTATGTGTTTAAAGTAACTGGCACACGAGCATGCACTTCTCTCACTCTGGCTTGATAATGACTTGCTTGTACAACGTAGAGAGCCAGTTCAGTGCATGAGTCTTGTCCCTGCTTCTCTGAGTGGTGTGTCAGGCGCAGGAAGCAGTTGCTTGGTCACTTTGTAAGGTGAAGATCAGTCTTCTGTTTTTAGAAAGTTCTGTCATATGGCATGTAATTTAGGTCATGGGTCTTACTGATGCTACTGTTCTTAATTTAGGTTAAAATGGGGAACTCCGAGAGTCAGTACACATTTCAAGGATCTAAAAACCATAGCAATACTGTTACCGGTGCTAAGCCAAAGCCTTGCTCCCTGAAAATCCGCAGCATTCATGCAAAAGACGACAAGTCGCTGCACGGGTGGGGTCACGGAGGCAGCGGAGCGGGTTACAAGTCCAGGTCCCTGGCCCGAAGCTGCCTTTCTCACTTTAAGAGTAACCAGCCTTACGCCTCGAGGCTCGGTGGACCCACCTGCAAAGTCTCCAAAGGCAATGCCCACTCCAAGCACAGGACAAACGGCTCAGGAAGTGATGTGCTGGCGACCCACCCTGCATTCCCGCCTGAGAACGGGTTCCACCACGTTGGTCACGAGCGGGCCGAAAACCGCGTGGCCTCGAGGGACTGCAATGGGCACCTCCTCAACTGCTACGGGAGAAACGAGAGCATCGCCTCCACCCCGCCGCCGCCCGGTGAGGACCGAAAGAGCCCCAGGGTGCTCATCAGGACGCTGGGGAAGCTGGACGGCTGTCTCCGGGTGGAGTTCCACAACGGCGAGGCGGGCGGCCACGGCGAGGCGGCCCCCGAGGCGGCGGGCGGCCCGGTCCGGCTGCTGCGCTACTCGCCCACCCTGGGCCCCCGCGCGCCCTCGCCGCCCAGCCCGCGCCTCTCCCCCGCGGACTCGCGCCCGCGCTCCAGCAAGGGCAGCAGCTCCCTGAGCTCCGAGTCCTCCTGGTACGACTCCCCCTGGGGCCACGCCTGCGAGGGCAGCGAGGCCGAGGGCCCCTTCCCCGCGCCCGGCGCACTGGACCCCAGCCCACCCGCCGGCTTCCCGCCCAGGGGCGCCCCGAAGCCCTTCAACCAAAGCTCTTCCCTGTCCTCCCTCCGGGAGCTCTACCCCGAGGCCCCCCTGGGGAGCCTGGCCCCCTCCGGGATCCGGCTCTCCGACGAGTCCATCGGCGCGCCCGCCAGCCTCAGCCACCGCGTGTCCTTCGCCTCCGACATGGACGTGCCGTCCAGCGTGGGGCCCAGGGACCCGGGCCAGTACGCGTCCTTCACCCTGCCCTGCAGGAAGTCCAAGGCCTTGACGGAGGACCCCGCGAAGAAGGACACCCTGAAAGCCAGGATGCGCCGCATCAGTGACTGGACGGGGAGCCTCTCCAGAAAGAAGCGGAAACTCCAGGTGAGTCCGCCTGGGGGGCAGCAGGGAGGACGCCCCTCGCTTTTCTCTCTGTGAAATGGGGATGCCGGTGGAAGGGGCGTGCAGCGGGGTCCTGAGGCCGCCAGGAGCCCAAGCCCCAGCAGTCCTGTTTGCAGCTGTGGGTTGGTTTGTCCCCCTTCCCTTCAGACGTGCGTTTGAGCGCTTAACCCAGGCCTCCAGTCCCGCAGTTTGCGCAGGCGCACCTCGCGTGCCCCTGTGCTGACCCACAGCCTGCCCCACCCGGGACGTGGCCTCCCGTGTCCTTAGAAGGTGCAGCCCCGGAGAGAATGCCACCCTGCGGAGGTTAACTGAGAACTTTGCTGGGGCTCATTCTTGAAGCATGTACAAAAAGGAGGCGTGATAGACTGTTGTCATTTGGGGGGCAGTTACCTTTCCTGAATGTGACGTTACTTTGAGAAAATTAAAATTTCTACACTTAAGTCAGTACATCAAAAAAATAAAAGGTGATGACCTGTCTATACGTATATCTCACTACCTCCTTATGGGGCTAGCGCACAGTTTTAGAAACATCTTGTCCCTAAGAATGTGTGATAGGGAAAATATGACAGTGATGACAAAATAAGAATCATGATGATAAAAACAATGCTCTTAACAGTGTGTGGGGTTTGAACAGGGAATCCCAGAGGCTTCACCACAGACTAGTGGCAGTTGCTAAGTTTTTCAGTTTGTTACTGTTGCTTGTTTTGTTTTGACTTTATTTAGAGGAAGGAGAAACCTTTTTCTAAAGAGCTCGCTATATGTCATTATTGAAGGGAGTTTGGTGGACAGTCAGTCTCTAGAAGAATTGCATTTTAACCATCCTGGACAGATACAGGATGGTAAAATGTTATAGAGCTTTAGGGGAAGAAAATAATATCCCTCCCCCTGTAGATAGTTTCAGATCTGTAACATTTACCGCCTTTATTGGTAGTTATTTCCTTCTTAGGTGTAAGATGCCCCCGCCCCACCCCTCCCATATTGTACCTTGTTGCCCTTTTGTGCTTTGCACAGAATGACGATCACCATCCTGTTACTCACTCTTCATATCCCTGAATGGAGTGATTCGCTTACTCCTTCATCACCGCCTCTTCAGGCCAAGCTGCTTAATAGTGGAGATGTTTTTGACTCTTTTCTCTCCGCTTCCGCTTTCCAAACAACTGGCAGCAGTTGAGCAGAAGGGGAAAATAGCGCCCACTTTCTCTGGGGCTTCAGTCCCCCGCAGACAGCCTTCATGTCTTTCTGAGTCACATGTTCATTCCGCTGTCACCTACTGTCACCCCTAATGGATACTGGCAATGAGCCAGTGGTCCCACATCTCTTATTTGCATAGAGTGCGTCCCTCATCTACGCTGTGGCCTGGCTAGCGCAGGGCTCTGCTGGGTCTGGTTTAGTGTTGGCTTCAATTCAGTTCAGAAGCAGACCCGTCGCCAGTGTGTATTGACCCCATTTGGTCCCGTGCTGGCCCTTACCGCTCAGCCCACGTGGGGAGGTGAAACTCTGTCAGCTCTGTATCACCCCAAGACTTAAGCCGAATGCAGTGGAGCACAGCTGGTTAGATTCAAAGAATCTGAATCCGAAGGCTAGAACGGACTCCCCCTCATTTTAAAAATGAAGATACTAAGATTCAAGGAGTTCGGGGTCCTTCCTGAAGACACACGGCCAGTGAGTGGAGACACTGGGGCCAAAGCCTTAACTTCAATTAGCCATGTGACCAGTGTAGTCATTGAAAAAAATAAAAACCCTCACGTGAGAATATGTTCCGCTCGTGGAACGAAGATTATCATCTGGGTTATTAGGCTTGTTGCTGCACCTTTATGAACTAAGAGAGTCTTATTGATTTTTAGTGAGAGGCAGGAGGAAGGTCACTGGGAAATTCTGCAGAGGCTGGAGGGCCCTCCTCCGTAATGCAGGCAGATGGTGTGTGAACCATGACAAGGTGACACGGGTGCTCTTCCCCAGAAAGTGAGGGATGGCGATCACAGTTTTCCTGCAGCTCCCAAGGTGTAAAGTGGCACCTGGAACCCCTCTCTTCTCTTTGCTGTGGTGTGCTCTGGCCATCGAGTTACATTATCCGTCATTTAGGATGGTCTGATGCGGGGAGATGGAAGTCAGTCGGCTTGGTGTTACCCGTGTCACATGGCACGTTAGCTTCACGCCCAAAATGCGTGATCAGAGAATCCAGCTGAGAGCATATCTAGGGACATTCAGCCATCCGTCCGTGCATGCATTCCTATTTGCTGAGAACCAGTCACTGGCTATTAGGATTGTAGATGAAAAGATTTAGAAATTTATTAATAATAAATTTATTAATACTAAACTGGGAAAGTTTATGTCTGTGTTTAACAATCAGTTATAAATACTAAAATGTGATCAATCATTTCCCATTTCTCAAAGAGAATTTTGTCTTTGCTACCATTGAACATTTAAAAGTTAACACTACAGCTTGAAGTCCCTCATAGCAACAGTGTTTATGGGTTGTGTTTAAGCTTGGCATGGAAGCGCCCTCTGACACGTTCTGAAACACCCCGTTATCGCTCTTGCGGGGTATCCGAGGCAGCCTCAGTGGTTGGGGGCTATGAGTCAGTGTCATAGTCATGGCTGGAATCACATTAATATTGTACCAGCTAAATGCAAAGTATTGCTTCACTTCCTAAGAGTTTTTGAAGAATAACAAAGTGACAATTTATCAGAAAAATCTTAAACCATTTTGAAAGTTTCCTAAATGACTCACCGCAGCTGGCTAATTTGCTGTGCTCTTGCATAAGCGTCAGTGTGTAAATAAATGTGACTGTGGTGCACAGTGTAAACACAGGGGGAAATAATATTTTCTTTAGTAGTAGCTGTGTTTGGGGCTCAGTTGTTCATTGTTCCTGGGTATTTGGAAGTACTCTTCAGTTGATGATTTTCTACAAACGATAGCAGGTAATCAATCGCTCCTTTGCTGCTTGTTTTCTGGGTGGAATTTCAGAAAATAAGACCCCTCTGCACATTATAATTTTCAAAATGAGGCTGTTAGTTTGTAGTCCTTGATTCAAGTTTCTTTCATGTTTATTTTAGTGGATAAGGAACTATAACTGGAAGCCCACTAGCAGATGAGCAGGCGAGTGTGCTAGCATCTCCCTGCAGTTACCATAATCTAAGCTCTAAGTTTGGATTATCAGTATCTTTTGAGTCATGAGTTAAACTCACTCTCTGCTGAAGAATTTAGTTACTGCTATTTACCAATGAATAACCTGTACGGATGACTTTTTTTGAATGACTAGACTTCTAATCTAGGCGCAGGATGAAACCTTTGTGTTTTTAGCTCTGTGCTGGCCAATTCATGTAGTCCTCTTAGGGGGTAGCAGTTATTCTAGAAATATTAATTTTACTTAGAGCTGCCCATCTCTGATTTTGTGTTCAAGTAAATATGAAAGCCAAGAGTCATGCCGTTGTTACCCCAAGTGCCTAGAATAAAATAGATGTTCAAATGAAAGGGTGAGAATGAAGTGTATCCTTTTCATGAAGGAAATTCCTAAATGAAGTAAAGATATTAGTTATGAAAAAAGGGACAGTGACTAGCCACTACCCTTTGTGGAGAAGGAATTTCATGTGCATGGTTTCTCTATCCTAAGTGGGGAAACTAGGTGCCAGGGGTCCCCAACTCTAGACCAGGGCAGGCAGCAAGAAGCAGGAGGCCGTGTGGACCATGGGACAGGCAGGGAAGTCTGTGCCTTGCAACACTGGGCATGACTTTCCAGTTTAGCTTGGAAAACGTTCAGGAGAAAGAACAGACTGCAAGACATGTGTTTTTTCCCACAAAGACTCTGATTCATAGTTAGCAAAAAAAAAAAACTCAGTCTAGAAGTCTTCACTAATGTATTTTATACACACTAGTTAACTTCCTGATGTTAAGCATTAGTAGGTTGAGGACCGTCCTTGGTATTTTTGTTTACATCTTGAATCATTGACTCCATTGGCTATAAATTGGGTTGGGCAATACTATTTCTCCCATTCTTTCTGGTTCAGAGACTTGATAATTAAAGATGCACTTTTGTTAAAGGAGTCTTACTTTGTGGCAATAGTACTAGCAGCCAACAATGTCACACTCATGCAATGTTGGGGGAGGGGTGCTTTACTTGACCTCTGATGGGTGGTCTTCTGTGTTGCCCCCAGGAGCCGAGGTCCAAGGAGGGCAGCGAGTACTTTGACAGCCGTTCAGATGGACTGAACACAGACATGCAGGGACCCTTCCAGGTGTCTGCCTCACTGTGGTCCGGGGGCTCAGCTCAGCTTCTGTCCCAGAGAAGCGAATCTGCTCATGCCATTGGCAGCGACCCCCTCCGGCAGAACATTTATGAAAACTTCATGCGCGAGTTGGAAATAAGCAGGACCAACACGGAGAACATAGACACGTCTACAGAAACTGCGGAGTCCAGCAGCGAGTCGCTGAGCTCCTTGGAGCAACTGGACCTGCTCTTTGAGAAGGAACAAGGGGTGGTCCGGAAAGCCGGCTGGCTCTTCTTCAAACCCTTGGTCACGCTGCAGAAGGAAAGGAAGCTGGAGCTGGTGGCTCGGCGGAAGTGGAAACAGTACTGGGTAACACTTAAAGGTAAGTGCCTTGTCGACCACTGAGGGCCACGGGATCCTTGCTCTGCTGTCCCCTTTCCTGGGAATGCCAGTGGGTCCGGTGTTAATTTCGGCTCTTGTGAAGGAAGCTGACATGGAATTTACCAGCATGCTTCACTATGGTCACTTTCTCAAGCCTGTTTAACATGGTTTACGTGATGCTCACATTTATGGTTCACTCTAATAAGTGATTGGATTTCATAGTGATTGCTGATTATTTTATAGGCATTTCTGTACCATTCTTTAATACTCTTCCTGCATGTGAAGGAAAGGAAAAAATACCCCAAGTACGTAAGCAAATGTTATTTAGTTATTTGGAACGTGGATTCTGAATGTCACGTTTGGCACACGTTCAGAACCCCGAAGAGGTATTGCCGCTTGTGAAACAAATAATTTTATCTGGGTTATTTGGCTTGTCGCCGCACCTTTATGAACTAAGAGAGTCTAATTGTTGTCATCGAAAGCAAATGCTTTGTTTCTAACCTAAAGGAAATAGCAGCAAGAATGTGATAAGATGATAGATAGAAGCTTCTCGGCAGTTGTAGATTTGAAGGGATCGAAATGTCCTGAGGAAAAGTGAGAGTCCATGTCTGGACGGTGGTGTTGACTTATACGGGGGGCAACAGGAGGAGCAGCTTCGCAGCCCCCAGCATTTCTGCTCCACCGTCCTGTGACTTTTTCAGAGGAACTGAATGTGGCGGTCAGAGTCAAACCTCATTTTTGGGCGACACCCTTCCGATCACGGGGGAGCGCAGACCTGTCGATCGCCTGTGCAGGAGGTCTGTGAGCCTCCACGGGCCCCTTTCTGGATTTTTTTTTTTTGCCTCACTTAGAAAGTTTGAGCCCTCTACCCCCCAGGTTGGGGTGCTGGTGCCATTTTATAATGACCCATAAGCCCCTCTGGGAAAGGCGTGCCCAGAAAGGCCTTTACTTTTAAGTACCTTTCCCTAGCAAACTGGAGAGGCTATACAGCCGAAGGCCCAGTGTCCCACAAACAGCTCCTATCCTCTGACTCTGGACTTGAATCCTGTGACACACTGTGACTGAGGAAGGCATCTGGGGAGGCAGGTTCTCGTACCGAATGACGGAAGGGATTTGGAAGGTTGGAATAATGGGCTGAACCTAGCAAGATAAAACTTGAAAGGGATAAGTTATACTTTATGGCTTAATCAAATAACTACCTTAGTACGCAATAGGGAGACGTGGCCGCAAAGTTTGACAAGCGAAGATGATTTAGAGGTTTGATTTGTAGGCCACTCTTTGAATGAGTTCCCACTGGGATGAGGCCAAAGTAAAAGCTAATGTGCTTTCAAAGAGCGAAGGGGGCGTTGGACGTCATTGGAGATGTCACATGATCTGCAGCCGTATAGTCTCTGCTTCCTCCTCAGAGTTGGTTGGCTCTCTCTTTGGGGTGGGATTTGTGAGTAAAATGATTCAAAAAAAGACTCTACCTGAAGTGTAAGTGGAGAGGAATGTGCACGTGGCCCTTCCAGCGAGCAAGCATCTGGAATTGTTTGTGAATTACATGCAGTCTGAAGCTGCCTCTTATTTGCAAATTTAGAATAGATGCATTCTGTTCCATAATGTGTTATGTATCTATTGTTTTTAACGTGAAATTTGTTTGTTGTTGCTTTGGGAAGATATTCCCTGCCTATATCATGGTTTTGAAACCCCCTGCCCTGCCTTCCCCCCACCCCCATGCATGTCCCAGGGGGTAGTGGCCTGTGATGTGTGGTGCGTGTGTGCGTCCATACCCCACTGTGAGAAGCAGAGCCTTCGGGGACCTGGAGGGATTCAGAACGAGGCCATGTGGAGGATGACAGAAGGATCTGGGAGTGTTTAGCTCGGAGGAAAGTGAGCAGCTCTCTCTTAGAAGAGGCGCTGAATTTAAGTTCATTCACCAGAGGTCAGCATGGGACTAGTAGATAGAAGACAAGCCAGTTCTGAATGTAATGTAAAAACCAACCAACCAACCAACCAAACAAACAAACAGAAAACAAGAAAAACAACAGTGACTAGGGCCATGGGCAGGTGGGAAGGTACCACCTTCCTGAGTTCCCTGATGTTGGTGACATTTGCACAGAGCTGGATTGTCAGAAGCTTCCTGGGACAGATCCAGGCTGGTGTCACATCAGGGTTCTTGCATTCTGCCCTGGAAGGGACACCAGGAGCTTCTGGCCGCTGACTTCTGGGGCAGGGATGGTCCTGAGTTATCTCGGTGATTACGAGAGCTGCAGCCCGGCCTGGGCCCGCTGTCTCGCTGCCGGCTCAGGAAACACTTTGAGACCTATGGATGAAGGGTGCTTTGTAAGCGTAAATGTTATCAAGCGCACATGCCTTCCTTTCCTTTGCAGCCAAGGAAAGGCATGCGATAAAGACATTTTTTCCCCCAGCATAACCTTTTCCATGTGGCTTTCTATGTCTCTTTCCTCTGGGAATTCACTATGTTGAGTTGTGCTTTCTTGGCTTAGAAACCAAGTTGTGATATTTGGATTTTAACTATTTGGTTTAATCTTAGTTAAAAACATACATGTGTGTCTATAGGCACATGTGTCCCTTGAAGCAGAATTTTGAAATTATCTTTGCAGTGTGTGTGTAAATAGATCAGAAACAGTGTTCTGGAAAGAGAAGCTATTAGCAAGCCACCTGGTTACCTACCTACATTGAATGCATAGATGTGCTAAGGGAACAAACGTTCTGTAGGGCTTGCAGGGTGTAATGCATTTTTAACAAGGAGAATTCAACTTTCCATCTGTCTTTTCCGTTGAGTAGCTTTTCACGCAGTTCACCGGGGGCTTCCTGGGAAGAGAGTTGGCCAGGTCATCGATGACACCCCTCAGAAGGCACGGCAGATGGCCGATGTCAGCCGAGGGGTTCGTGAAGTGATGTTAGGGTGCTGGTGATTCTGCTTCTCCGTAGGCCTGAGACAAGGAATGGAGGGATGTGTGTGGGCTGGGAGGATGTCAGCAAAAAGCTGGGTATGGGAGGAACCGAGAATAGCTGCTCTCCTTCAAAGCGCTGGTTAACATTTCTACTCCTAGTGTGCCTTCTGTTCTTGTACGTCTGCTGCTTTTGCCGGTCTGTTTTCTCTTGCTGCTACTGTGGCTGGAACTTCCAGGGTCTGCGTGGGGAGCTGACAGCCATGGCACTGCTGGGGGTGTGGGTGGGGGTCAGGGACCTCACCCACACGACTGCAGCCCCTTTCCATCCACTGCAGCACCCAGCATGAGAGACCCAGATTGAGTTAAACTTGATGCACTAGATTTGCGATTGATTTCCTGTTCTTTAAATTCGATAGCAACAACCCTCAGCATATTGTTTTACATCCCCGCCTGGCTCTAAAATGGGACGTCCTGTTTTGGTTTCAGGCCGCCACATCAGGGCCGCGTTCTGTCCTCGATGGGGTGTGAGGTTTGGCAACAGGTTGGCATCTGCCCAAGATTGTGTTCATTTCCCCTGCATGCAATGGTTCCATCACAGCCGCTGGGAGCACAGTGTTAGGGAAACTGGAAAGTCAACGTTAACCCATTGGAAAGAACTTGGACTTGGGGACGCCTGGCGTGGCCCTGTCCCCTTTGTCCTGGTTCCTGGGCCCCAAGGTCACAGTGTGTCACACACCACAGTAGTATCAGACCTGGAAGAAAGATTGGGGGTGCTGGTTCCCTGTGATGCAGTGGCTGGAGGAAGAGACCACTTAGCCCTGCAGAAGCAGCTCTGGCCCTGAGCCTCCTGCTACCTTCCCTCATTCTCAGAGCCCCTGCCCGCTGCTGCCCCTGGGCTGAGTTTTGTCTGCCGGAGGAGAAGTGGCTCAGTGCTTCCTGAATCAGAGAGCACTGTGCAGGGAGAGGGGAGCTGTTTCTGAGGGCAGAGCGGGGGCGGGCCTCTTGTTCTCCTGCCTTCTCCGCTGCGTTACAGACACACATTCAGATTCGTTGTTAAAGGGGGAAAGAAATGACTCTGGCAGGCGTGCAATTGTTTTTAAAGAATAATAATTATTATATAACAATAATATTTACTGTATCACCATTATATATTATTTATGTAATATATATAAGAATAATATATAATAATTATTATAGGGCATTCCTATCTTAATTATCAAAGCAGACCCTTTATAACTTCTAGCTATAATACTTGATTAACTTCTTCGGGGAAATGTAACTTCTTAGGTCTATGTGGCAGCGTTTTTAGAGTGATGTTTTAAAATTCAGGGATATTTAGTTTCATTTTTCTCTCAATCTAAATTGCTCAGGTGATAGTAATATTTCCTCTCGCTGTGCGATAGGAGGATATATTGAAATTAAGCTATTTTACACAGCATTTGGTGCGCTGTCATAGGTAGTGAAGTTCCCCATGTCTGCTCGGTTTCACGTTACCACACGTTCGAAGTGTGGAAGCTCCCGTAGTTAGCAAACATGGGATTTTCTTCTGCCTCCTGCAGCTGGCTCTGTCCAGTGTGGTGTTGTGGGTAAGAACGAGGTCCCTGGGGCCAGAGGGTCTGGGCCCAGCTGTGGAGCCGGCACAGGTGGTGTGGCCTCAGGTTTCGCATCTGTGACGTGGGTTAGACTCACCTGCCTTCTGGGGCTGCTGGGGGCACCAAGTGAGCCTGCGCCTGTGGGTTTCTGAGAGGCGTTCGTGGTGGGGAAAAGCAGCAATAAACAATGATAAACGCATGGTGTCGCTCTTACCGATACTTCATTTACAGAAACATCTCTTTTCACCCCCATTGATGCTAATACACGGATGCACACTTTGGAGACCGGACTTTTCTTTTGTGTGACATAGTTGCCACATTCATTTTTTTTTAGATGCGCGCCTTCCCTTCTCCTGGCTTCCCTCGGCCCCATGCCGGGCCCACGTTGGTTTTGCTTCTCTCTCCACAGGGTGCACGCTGCTGTTCTATGAGACCTACGGGAAGAACTCCCTGGACCCCCGTGGCGCGCCTCGCTGTGCACTGTTCGCGGAAGACAGCATCGTGCAGTCCGTGCCAGAACACCCCAAGAAGGAGAACGTGTTCTGCCTCAGCAACTCCTTCGGAGACGTCCACCTTTTCCAGGTACCACCGAGCTCTCTACGCGTGGGCGTGAGATGACAGCTCGCGTACTCTGAGAGTGTGATGGACCGAACTAAGAGGCGCAGCTTAGCCATGTCACAGGCTGAGTCGGGCTTTGGGCTGGGGCCCAGCCGAGGGTGGTGGCCTCAGTGCAGATCCGTCATTGCAACAGCGAGCACTTCTCGGGTGCCCATGACTGCTGGGCTGTGGCCCACAGGCTGCTCCTTATACAAATGAAAGCCGTGATCCCTGTCTGGGAGCAGTTGGTGATCCAGGGAGTATGAGGTCCAGAATTCCCGGAGGGGAGGCTATTTCAAGGATGCCTAGGAAATGTGGACCCCAGAGGTTTAGGCTCCTGCTAAGAGGCCCGGTGGAATCCTGAGAGGCAGCTCTTGAGGAAGCCCCCCTAGACCAGCGCTTTTCGGTGAGGCCTACCTCCCGGGGGGGGGGGGCTCAGGACGCTAGGAGTCAGGTTGTGTGTTGCTAGGACTTTTAGCAGCTTTCTAGCAGATGAGCAGTCACAGAGTGTGGCGGGGCCACGCCACCGCTGCTGGGGGCGGGCGTAGGTGTGAACCCTGGGGCTGTTGCTGAGCATCTTGACCTCGGTCTTCTTCGAGCACTGGCTGAACTCTTCTGAGTTTTGGACCCTCCAACCAGGAGGATAAGCTGAGCTTCTAGGATTGTTTTGGGTGTAAATGATATAATGTGTGTCCGTGTTAAGTGCTGAAGACTGTTACTATTATCTAACTATAATTTCTGTTATTAATGAACTCAAAAAATGGGGGGGGGGTGATTCCAAGAAGCAAAACGTGTTTCTCAAATGCCTCTTGACCACACCCCATGATGCGTGTAGACATGGTGCGGGCTGTAGACTATACCTGGTTGTGGGGTCATGGAAAGCCTCATAGGTCCTGGGGTCAGGTCTCCCATGCACTTGGTCCTGGACGCCCCCGCAAGCCCTGCAGGACAGAGTAGTGTTCTCTCCCTGACCTGGGAGTCTGCAGTTCTTCGAAGTGTTCCCAGAATCAGGGCTAGGTAGACGCCTTGGTCACTAACTGCCTTACAAGAGTCGGGGACTGAGATTTGATTTTCCTTTTCTTAAAAGATAGTTGATTACTCTTTGCTGATCTTTATAGCCAACTGATGAATTGATGTACATCTGAATTCCAGGGAAGGTAAATACATCAGATTAAGTCTACAAGGACTTCTTAGGGGCAAGGGTGAAATGAATATTTCATTTCGTGATTCAGGCAAAGTAAGAGATTAAGAAATTGTCCCAGCAGGGCGCGATCCCAGAGAGCGCTGGAGGTGGACCGTAGTCTGAAAGTGCGTGGTTATTTCTGATGCGAGGGCACTGAGGTGCTTTCAGCCAGCTTAGAACCGCCTCTGCCCATTCTGCTTTATTCAGACTTTCCTCATTGTTTTTAAAATGAAGTATTTTTCTTATACGACAACATTGGGGTCTTTGTGTCTTGAAGGTACTGGAGGGTAAAGAAATGAAAAAAATTTTTTTCATTGACATTTTTCATAATTGAGTCCATACTACAGATGAAATTACATATCCAGGTTTCAAAATGTGACATTTTAATCCTAAGACTTTTCTCATTCTCTTAAAATTATGATCATACGCCATCTTAAGGGAGTGGCCTAACGCACACTGTGATGCTGTACCCCAGTTATCTTATTACTCCTCGTTGTTGGCTTACAGCTTGGTTCTAGCTGGTCTTCCCAGGACTAGCTAGATATTTGGGGCTCTGTGGTTCTTTCTGCTCTGCTCTCGATGTTCTCGCAGACCTCTGGAGTCAAAGAGGCTTGTGAGCCTGAGTCAAATGGTCGTGTATGGTTTTGAAATGGAAGTTTCTGAAGTGCAGATGCCCCTGAGCTTTTACTCATCAAAGCCCAGCCTGCCACTTGGGAGCGTGCTCTGTGGTAAAACAATGCCTACTCTTTTTTTTTTAACCCTCCTATGCTCAGGCCACTAGCCAGACCGACCTGGAAAACTGGATCACTGCCATACATTCGGCGTGCGCATCCCTTTTTGCAAAGAAGCGTGGCAAAGAGGACACAGTCCGGCTACTGAAGAACCAGACCAAAAACCTTGTTCAGAAGATAGACATGGACAGCAAAATGAAGAAGATGGCCGAGTTGCAGCTGTCCGTGGTCAGCGACCCGAAGAACAGGAAGGCCATAGAAAACCAGGTACTATTTATTTACACGAGTATTTCCTTCTGTGGCTCACGCCACTCACAACACACTCGGATGATGCCAGTGTTTCTTCCATCACTGGGGGAAACAGTTTCTCTGGCTTCTCATTTCAAGTCCTCAACGGGTGAACTTTTGTGCTGTGGGTGATGTGACATGCTCCCCAGTCTTTGGTTGCTGGGCAGGTATCACGGCATGTTTTCTGCCAAAACCTTTTTCCTGATATTGAGTAGCTCCTTCTTGCCTGGCCGATTCTCAAAAATTCTCAGAAGAAAATCTACATCGTGAAACCACTAACTAAAAGACTGGACAGGTACGATTCTAATACAAAGGATGGCTTTGGTAAGAGCTGTGGGCACGACAGCTGTCCCGGTATCGGTGGGTCCAAAAACCCAGCATTTAAAGAAATTTATTACAGTTGAAGTGCTAAGGACAATGCTTTCTCTGGCCTAATTTCACTTTTGTGTAACAATCAAACGAGGAGTTTGTAAGCTGCTTGTCTGTTAGAGGAGCAGAAGCATCTTTTTGATCATTTTCTTCGCTCGGACAGCCCAACGTTTAGATGAGTGTCAGTGACAGATGCAGCGCCCCTGTCTTCATGAGCACAATGAAAGCAGCATCTTTGGCCGAGGACTGAGGCAGTGACGTGGAGGGCAGGCCAAAGTGGGACAGTCAGCGGGTGGTGAATGGCACTGGTCTGAATGTACAGTTTCAAAGACCTGGTGTGGAGAGACACGGCCAGGGCTTAGTTTACATGGAAAATTAATTTCAGACCTTTCTTTCCCTTTTCTTTTCCTTTCCCTTTCCTTTCCCACTTCGAAATCTTTTTATCGGACTCACAGGGCTGTTTTCCAGGCATCTTGTCAGCAAGGCAACCTGACAGGACACACTTCTGAATTTTCACGTGTCCAGAAGGCCCAGTGACCTTTCAGCATCTGAGATGATTCAGGGAGGGATGCACTGTCCCCCCGGAGGTCAGATACTTTAAAGGTTCTCTGAGTCTACAGTTTACTAACAGACTAATATATAAAATGCTCTTCATCATAAGACTGTCTGATTATATAGGTTAGGAGTAATAAATAATAGTAATTATAATGTCAGGGACACTTTCCCAAGGTGGCATTGTTAAATATGGAAAATAAAAACTCTCTTTTGGATCCCATGATTCTGCATTTAAATGAGATTCACTGTTAAATACTTGTGTGATTTTTCCCATATGACTTGAATGCAGAGTATGTAATTTTTATAATTCTGTAGAATCTTAAGAATAGTATCCTACATTCCTGAATTGAACTGTTCCTCCATCAGACTCTGCCACTTATTTAAAGAGTATCTGCTAGAAAACCACAAACTAAAAAATAGTTGTAACAAAGAGCCGAACAGGAAGTTGGAACTGCCCGGGAGAGTGACAGGAGGCGGAGGGGTGTCTGGCGTTGGACAAGAGCACAGGCCTCCAGGGGCTCTGCTGTGTCATCTCCACCTGCTTCCGACCTGGGAATGTGCAGGTCCTCATCTCCTAGCTCTCTCTCTGTGTAGCATCTAGGATTATGGTGCTAGGTCAAGGTTACGTGACAATTGAAAAGCCAGAGGAGAAGGAGAAAGGGTTATCCTGGAGTTTTCTTGGTACCGTGTCTCACTGGTGGTCCTGAATTTCCAGGATCTAGAATCTTCACTCTGTATTATTGGAGGGGCACCTTGTAGATTCACGTGTCTTGGAGTGTTCAGGGTGCCCCAATCAAACAATTGCATGGTGCCCTGGCTGGTGTGGCTCAGTGGATTAAGTGTCGGCCTGTGAACCAAAGGGTTGCTGATTCCACATGCCTGGGTTGCAGGCCAGGTCCCCCATTAGGGAGGACTGGTTGATCTGTCTCTCACATGTTGATGTTTCTCTCCCTTTCTTTTTCCCTCTCTTCCCTTCTCTCTGAAAATAAATAAAATCTTTAGGGAAAACATCTCATAGTGACTGTAACGGGGGGAAAAGTATGGTTTTGACTTTTACCAGCTCTCTAAAATGCAACTTCAAAGCCAATGCCAGTCCCCTGGAAGGGATGCCCAACCTGGAGTTTTCAGACCCTCCTGTATTGTCAACTGTTTAGGTCCAGAGAGAGAAAAGGAGAATTTAGTGACATTGAATGGCTCCTGGTTCATTTTTTAATCTTTTTTTCCTCCTCCCTTCCCCTCTTTATGGCCACAAGACGTCCAAGTCAACATTTGCAGAAATTTAATGTTTTCTTTAAATGCCACGTATTCCTTTGTGATAGTTGATAAGTACTGAATTCACCACATCACAATCGGTGGTCTTCTCTGAGTGGGAGGTGGGGGATGACTTTCACGTAAACCCCCACACAGATGCAAAGGTCTGGGGCAGTTGGGTGGCCGGAGGAGAAGCTCTTTGGAAAAATTAGGCCAGTTATCACTTACGGCCCATTATACATGGTTGACTGAACCATCACTTCAACGATTTTAAGCAACTACTAACTTTTCATTTCAATTCTCCCCGCCCCCTCCCTGTTTTCCTCACCCCTCCCACACATCTCATGTCAATGCTTGTGAGTTTTCGGTAAGAAATAATTAGGGTTGATCTTCAGAAATTCCACCTGAAAATATTCTCACCATGTTAGTTAGCAGTTTAAGGCTGTAATTTTGTTATGTTTTCCCAGAGGGCTTTGCAGCGGGTAACATGAACTGTATTTTCCATGCCCACTGTCCTTAATTCATTTGCAAGCTGGTTGTAAAGAAGCTATTTGCTCTTTACTTGCAGACACCAAGTATATGGAACATTAAGGGGGAGCAAGCGCATGCTTAGAATTACTTTTATGAGATAGTCTTTAGAGAGTATGATGTGATGCTATAAAGGCAAAGGCATTTACAAAGCAAGACCAATAAGAACATGATGTCTCAGATAGCCCATAAGTATCGTTTTTTCTAAACTACCTTTTGAAAACTCCTTTAAAAGGGCAGTGCTTTATCCACTTACAATTTACAAATCTCAACTTCACTATATTTTATTTTGCATGAAAGAAAATATGATTTACAAAGTGCTTTTCCCCAAAGACCCCCACGCACCTCAGATAAAGTCATTTATAGCTGAGTAATAGTTGCACTTCCAGAGTGATTTATACATGCAAGATAAAATCTCTGCCACCAGTTTGAGGTCCTTGGATGGAGAAGGTCATTGTCAATGGCTTTTCCGAGTAAAAAGACACTTATGATCACAGTAATGGTTGAACTTCCTACTGTTGTCTGATGACCACGGGGCCTTCAGGGTCTGGGTGGGGTGGGATGACGCGTTTGCCCTTATCCAGCCTGGGGCTGACCACGGGGCCAGTCAGCAGGCTGGCTTCCTTTTGAAGTTCTGAGGCAGGAAGGGCTATAAATTCAGTCTAGTGAGGACTTCATTTTCCTTTCTGTTCATTATTTTAAACAAGTAAACAGGGACAAGTCCTCACCACCCTTAGGCGGTGGAGGCCTCCTCCCAGATGGCTTCCTCTGTCCTCCCCCACCCCAGCTGGCTCTGTGCCTTTCCCACGTCCGGTGGGTAAATTGGCCGGGGAGGGGGGGGGGAGGAGCCACTGGTATGGGGGTGATGCAGGCAGAGCCCAGGCTCAGTTGGTGGGCTTGCATCTGCTCTGGGTTAGTGACACATGGGTGTCATCGTAAATATTTAGTTTGTTTTAAAATCATGAAGAGGATGGAGTGAATTTATACAGTTGGAAACTGGTGAAGAGTATGAAGTGAACAAAGCCTTGAGGGAAGTGCAAGACAGGGTATGGGGGGCGGGTGAGAAAGCAACTCAGGGAATGAGCATTGGAGGGTCCGTGAAAGGCAGTGAGGGAGACAGGTCCGGAGCACAGAGGGGGCCGGGCCGAACCCTGGGCCTTGTTCAGGAGGCAGCAGGGAGGGGCTGGAAGGATCTGGGGCGGGAGGTGAACTCCCAGTTTCACCAGTGAGAGCTTACAGACTGCAAGCTCTGGGCTGGCAGGTGTGGCCAGACGGGGGTCTCCGTCCCTGCTCCCGCCGCATCGTTTTATAATCATCTCCTGGTGTCAGGGTTGCTCCTCGTGCAAAGCAGGACCCCCTGAAGGATTGTGACTTTCCAGGTCTGTTCCCCTGGTACTTAGCTTGAGCTGGTCAGCGAATGGACCAGTGTCCCCTTTCCTCTAGACTGAGTGCTTGGGGTCCTTCTCCATCCCTGCTGCTCACCAGCTCTCTGCTTCTTTCCTCCAGACGTTCCCCACTTCATCCCCAGCTAATATAACATATCCTCAGGCTATGACCAAGTATGATTTCACAGTAACTCCATGAGGTAGGGCTGTGTGCCTCACCCGTTTAATTGCTGGCTAAACCAGACCCTTAGAGAGGTTAAGTATCGTATGTTTTCTAACGTCACACAGCTGCTAAGTGGCAGAGTTGGGACTCGAACCCAAGTCTGTGCTCCTAAACAAAGGCCGCTGATGTGTCTCTCCGTAAGACTTTTGTGAATCGGGTTGTGTTCCACTAGCAAATTAACTAGGTGATGGCTGGTTTTACCTAAAATAGAAATTAATCCTTAATTTACTTGATTCCATAACTTGGAGTTCTCAGCTCAATTTGATGGGAAATTATTTATTACGAAGCTGGATTTTATGGAATGTGAATTATAGGGAAAAACCAAAACAGCGGACTCTCTGAGCCTTAGCCGGTTGTTCCAACTACTCGTTGGCTTCTGTGTGGTCCATTGCCACTGCAGGGGTTCCTCTGGGGAGGGAGGTTGTAGCGCTTGCAGAGCATTGCCTGGAGTTTTTCAGCTTATTCTGTCAAAAAGGAAACCCGACTCCGTGTTTAGGACAAACCCAGTCGTGGACAAATGACCAAGGACTGTGATCAGATGACCAAACGGTAGAAAATGTTTTTCTAGGAGCGCTGGGTGTGGTGTGTATGTGGCTGTCACCTTTCTTAACATGTCATTGTTCCTGTGCCGTTTAGTGTGACCCTTGATGTCCTCCCCTTCCCTGTCCCCAGAGTGAACCCTGACCTCCCGAGCTCATTGCAACGAGTGCAGCCCTTTTGGCGAGAAAGAGGAAACTTGTGCATTGTCTTTGTGCCAGCGCTTAAACAGGGGACCTTTCCTCCTTCCTTTTGTTAATTTTTCTGTTTATAGTGAAAGATAAAACCTCCTTAGAGTGAGTTTCGTTCATCCTTGAAATTTGTACGTTTTGTGCATGGACATGAAAAGTAATGAAAGCTCAATCTATATAGAAGTCAAGTTTTTATTCTCATGTCCTGAGATTTATCTTAAAAATGAAGAAATGGCTAGAGATGATTGTCAGTTTTTCAGGAATTTTGAAAAAGAAAAAAAAACCCATGTTGGTATAGGAGAATTGGTTTGGGGCATTTTAATTTTTGATAATGTTAGGAAAAAATCTCCAGAAATTCCCTGATAAATGTGGTATCAGCTAACATTACTATTTCAGTGATGATGATGATGGACATTTCCTAAGGTGGTATAAATAAATAGCTACCGGACTGTCTTCTGCTTTTCCCTTTACGGTTAGAAAATATTGGGCTGGCCAAAGAGTTCATTTCACTTTTTTCCATAATATAAAAGATGTGTTTTTTATTTTCACCAATAACTTTATTGATTTGGATATTCCAAATATGTTAGCTATCTCCTGCATAACATTTATTGGTATAAAATGTATAACATTTACTTTTCTCAGTGTCTCGATTTGGTTGCTATCAACTTCAACTGGTCTACCCGGAGCATCATGCAGCGAGAAATCTCCAGCATGAAACTTTGCAAACCACTTTTGACATGTTCAGTCCAGCACAGCATCTTCTTCATACACTGCACAAATGGGTTTTTTGCAATTTTACCATTCTTGAAATAATAAAGCATAACATTCAAAAAATGTTGTATATTTTCTTCCATCTTCAATATTAAAATGGCTACACAAAAATTCACCAATTTTAGTGTTTTTTAAAAATGCACACTGATATGGCAGCTGTTACAATACAGTCTGACAAAATTGTTTCAAATGAGGTTCAAGACAATTAAGCTCTACTAGAGCCATTTTACAGAAAGAAAATGCACTTTTTGGCCAGCCCACTATATCTTTACCTCATCTTTTGAGGTTTAATCTTAACATATATTATAACTTTAAATTTGGGCTGAACTTGAACATGCTGGTAGGAAATTGAAATGCAAAATGTTCAAGACAAATAGGGCATCCGAGTGAGAGCATAGATAGTCTTATAGCTTCTACATATTAGGAGAACATTGGGGATTTGTGGGAAGAAAAAAAGTCAATGATTGGATGAAAATTTAAATGGAAGTTGCTGAAGTGGTTCTTGGGCAGAGCAGAGGTTTCTGCCTGATGAGCGAGCAGACCTGGGACTCGGCTATGTCACAAGTGTTTGGTAGAGGCTCGTCCCCACATACTGTTCACACCAGGATCAGCCTTTGGCCTTTGCTTATCTGGAAGGGCTTATCGTGTGGCCCTGGTCAAGTCACTTCCCTTCTGGGCCTCTGTCTCCCCTGCTGAGAAAAAAGGTGTTGTAATCCTGGTTCCCCAGCTAATTCTTGGCCTCTGTTGCCAGACTTTCTCGTTATTATAAGGCTGATTTTGAGCTGTGGGTCCAGTCTTTTTACTGCCCTCTTCCCTCCAAGTAGGCCAAGCCTCTGATTCTCTGTCCTCATTGTACTGTTACCTGCATATTCTCCCAAGTCCTTCTCTCCAACTTCCATGAGTCTCTGGGGGGAAAAAATCAAATATTCCATTGTTTCTAATCCAACCACAAATCCTCACTTAGCCTCCATGACTGATTCACTGTATAAAATAAGCCATGGCCTTAAAAACAAGATAATTATTGTGTTTAGATATGGAATAGAAGTGTGACTAATGGCAGCTTACTCTGCCATAGAGGTCTATGGGGATGAAGGATGTATCAGTCAGGGTTCTCCAGAGAAACAGAACTAATAGGATCTAGGAAAAAATATATATATAAAGAGCTTTATTATAAAGAACTGGTTCCCATGATTATGGAGGCAGGCACGTCTCAAGATCTGCAGTGAGTCAGCCAGCTGGAGACCCAGGAGGGCTGGTTCCCATCCTAAGACTGGCAGGCTCAAGACACAGGAAGAGCCACTGTTTCCATTCAGGTCCAGAGGCAGGAGAAAGCCAGCTTCCCCGTGTGAAGGCCATCAGGAGGGGTTCTTCCTCACTTGGAGGAAGGGTCAGCCTTCTTGTTCCACTGAGACCTTCTGTCGGTGGGATGAGGCCCACCTGCATTTGGGCGATGTGCTTTACTCCAGTACATGCATTTAAATGTGGGTCGCATGCACAAACCCCCTCATGGAAGCACCCAGAAAGAAGAATGTTTGACCACTTAGCTGGACACGCCGTGGCCCAAACTGACACACAATGAACCATTACAAAGGCTCGGTCAGAACTGTTGGAATGGAGAAGTCATAAAGTCTCGTCTCGTTTGTATCTTTTACTAAATTCAACTTTGGAATGACCTCTACAATGTACAGTATTGACTGAGATAATTAGTTCCTTGAGATGTGATCACCTACATTAGCCAACTTCTTGACCTTTCTGAGATCTGTTTGAAGCTGTTGGGATCTCCCAGCCCCGTCTTCCCTCCAACAAACTTAACTCTGCATCTGAATCCATACTCTTCCCATGAATTCACCTGCCTTTGGTGCCAAGTTTTGGGCGCACAGGTCCAGGTGTGCTGGGGATTATCAAAGTGTTTCTGACAAAATTTTAGGATTCGCTGTTTAGGATGAAACTGTCTTCACCTTCCAGTGGTGTTTTGCTAGTCACATAAATACATGAAATGACTTTTAGAAACACTGTAAATAAACTACAGAATTCAGTGAAACTATAAGAGACTGTCATCTTCCCTGATTGATAGCAATTGACATGGGCTTAGAATTTATTTAATATTTTTGTCTTTTTAATCCACTGTTGGTGGTATGCACTTATCTTCTGGTATCTAGTGATTCCTTTTTTTTTTTTCTCTCTCCCCTGCCTCCACCCCTAATGGAAGCCCTAGAAAGTATTTTGGAAACTATTTCGCATGGAAATATAAATGAGGGAGAAGCTTTAATATACTACCCCATCTAGAAATAGCTGTATAGTATTAGAAGACAAAAGGATGCATCTGCAGTTGTGGATTTTCAGGAATCAGCTAGAGAAGATGTTTGTGGGACGGGCTGGGAGGGTCGTTTTCCCTGTAGCTTCTGATCAGTGTCAGTTCATGGTTCCGTTCTGCCCACCCATCACTTCTGGAACCTAGAATTCTCTAATGTTGCAACTGAGTAGAGGTCTGTGGTTTCTGTTTGAAGGGTCTTGTCAGTCTAGAACAGCAGTCCTCACTAAATCCAGACCCCAGAACTGCTGGAGGTGGCTTGGAAGCATAAACCGCCCCAGGCCTCACACCTAACGGGGGAGAATCTTGAGGCATTCGAGCTGGGCATCTTCGTTTTTAAAAGCCACCGGTTGTGCTGGTATTCATTCAAGGCTAACACCAGTAGGCTGTTCCATCACCAATAAGGGGGTTGCAGAATTTTAAATGAGAGCAAAATCACTAAGGAGACTGAGATTTTTTTCAATACAGTCTGGGAATTTGTTGTTTGCTGACAAAAAATGATGAATCAATGACTTTTTTAGATCTTGTAGCCATCATATTTCTTTTATGCAGAAAGTTTGTACAGTGACCTTCCTAAGAAATAGAGATGGAGGACTTGGGTGGGGTCCAGGGAAGACCCCGAACTGGTTCTGCTTTTGTCTGGGGAGAGACCGAAGGGCGCCCGGTGTTGAATGTAGGATGTCATGCCCATCCAGGATTAAAGTTGACTGTGAAAGGTGGGGATCTGACTGGGTGTCAAATGTGGCAAAACTGGAGACCCAGTGGTGCAAATAAAACAGCACGACTCTAGTGCTGAATCGTTTACAAGCCTCCACCACAGACCTGCTCTTGGACTTTGAGTTTGCCCTCGACACCGTTTGAGGTCCGGCTCTCTGCTGTCCTGAGTCCCCATGCTGGCGAGTTCCTAGACCTTCACCTGCTAGTTTATCTTTAAATGGAGGTAATACTTACACGTATTTTGCCGTCCTTGGAAGAAGGGAGGCCGGCCCCTAGAGTTTGACTGTCTCTTTGCCAGCTCATGACCTCACTTTCGAAGAAGTGCATAGAAATTTCTGTTGTGTGTTTTAATTTTATTCCGGTGGATAGATGGCGATTATTCTCTAAGATGCTGAAAAGAGGGATAGAAGCTTTATTTGTCCTGACTCCTAAAGTCCATTTGCTTCTTATTATCTTGAGTTCTTTGCTCAGAATGCACAGAGATGCGAAGTTACTGCCTCCATTCGTCCAGTGCTTGTCTGGTGCAGTTCTGTTAACCTGGTTTAAAATCAGAGGCTATAAATGTGAAGGGGAGTGAAACAAAGTGAAATGCGGACTGACTTGTGTGCCCTGCCTTGGGTCAGTGGGATTTAGAGCGCTGGCATCCCCCAGAGGTCGTGGCATTTTGGTAAGGCGCCCCCTTGGGACCACCAGCTTTATTTTACTTTGGGCCATCCTGGCCCGGTACTTACTGTCTGACCCACTGCGCTTTGGTGGGAGGGCTCCGGCTAGGGTGAGCCCTCCCACCAAATTTCTACCCTGCCACACCAGGGGAAGTAGTTTTTTTTTTGAAGTTTGTGAAAAGGATCACATTCTCAACTTGAGCCATGAAAACTTCTCATTTTCACTAAAGTTGCCCCTTTTCTTATGTAAACAGATTCAGCAGTGGGAGCAGAACCTGGAGAGGTTTCACATGGATCTGTTCAGGATGCGCTGCTACCTGGCCAGCCTGCAAGGCGGGGAGTTGCCGAACCCCAAGAGCCTCCTAGCCGCTGCCAGCCGTCCCTCCAAGCTGGCCCTGGGCAGGCTGGGCATCTTGTCAGTTTCCTCTTTCCATGCCCTGGTAAGTGCCCCAGGGAGGATGGTGGCCCTCGGCTCTGCTGTGACTTAACTCAGTGACTGACCAGGGCCCCCAGGGGGCGAGCTTCCTGGGATGGAGTGTTGAGACGCTGCATGAAGAGTCCTGGCTTCCTCGCTGCTGCTTCTAGGACTCCAGCTACTGGTAGATGCTTATTAAATATTCACATCTGCATCTGCCTTTCAGTCTCTTCCTAATCACAAGGTCGTCACAGTGGGGTGAAGAATTAAAGGGCTGGTTGGAGGTTGTTTTACTGGACTTTCTGAAATCACGCCCCAGGTGGGTGATTTCTGCTGGTGGTACTGGCTCAGCCTGGGGGAGGGGGCTCTCTGTGGATTGTTTTGCTGATTCTACTGTCCTCTATGGAGCGATCTGAATGTTGTAACAAGGCCTGTGTTATGCAGATAAGTGATGTCTCTGTGGCGGATCCAGCTCTGGTGTGTCCAATGTGCAGTGGCCTTGGTACTGGGCAGAAAGCACTAACAGCAGGCTGGGCTTACTTCTGTTAGGTCAATAGTATGCTTTAAGACCTTTTAAAACTGTGTTTTGAATTAGGTATGTTCTAGAGATGACTCTGCTTTCCGGAAGAGGACACTCTTACTGACCCAGCGAGGGAGAAACAAGAAGGGCCTGTTTTCTTCATTAAAAGGGCTGGACACACTGGCAAGGAAAGGGAAGGAGAAGAGACCTTCTATAACTCAGGTGAGTTCCTCCTCGTGGGAGGGACTGCAGGTCGAGGGGGAGATTCTGGGGCTTCTGCTCGCTGCAAAATGTTCATCGTCTTTTAAGAATGAGGTAAAATTTGGTAAGAGGAATGCAGTCTTAGCTTGGACTTTTTCCCCAAATGAAACACACAAGTTGCCGCGTCTCCTTTTGGCACCCGCAGGGAGGATACTTGCTCACTCCTGAGGTGCTCAGTAACAGAAAAAGAAGGATAATCCGAAAAGAATCCACACGTTTCTTTGTCTTTCGTACCGATGTTTATTTTTCCTCTAGATTTCATGTCACAATAAACGTGTACAATTCATAATCAGGGAAACTGCAGCTAAATGCTAAAACTCTGTGGATAGGGTGGGGCACCGTGCCTACTTAATCTTTGCAGGCACTCTGTCGTCACGTTTTACAGACGAGGAGCCTGAGGCCTGGAGAGGTTGGGGTGCTTTGTCATCCCTGTTCACACTGCATCTGAGGGGCGGGGCCAGGACTTGACCATCCTGGATCCGAAGCCCTAAACCACTGGCCTGTTGCCGCTGCTGAATCTCCTTGTGGAAGGGCAGCTTGGAAACGTTTTATGAAGCAAAAATGGCCACAGCCCTTCCTGTCAAAACGTGGCTCTTGTGCAGTGAATTGTCTTCACATTCTGAGTGCTTGTATCTGAAGTACTTCCGAGCACTGTGACTGTGGTATACGGTATGAATTTTGGATTGCTGCTCGACATGTTTTAGGATGTTTATTTTTTCAGAGGTTATCGAAAAGATGAGTTATCGTGATGATCTGATCACATGAGTGAGTAGGGAAAGTGTTTGTGATTAAGTCTGAAGAGGTTCTTGTTTTTATTTTGAACAGATTGTTGTTATTTGGAATGCACGTCCAATGTGACCCGGAAGGGAGAGTCACGTTTTATGGAACTTTATTTTCTCATTTTTCCATAGATGTTTATTTAGTTCTGTATAACGGTTTTGTGGTCGCTTATAACTTGGGAGCAGTGAAGGCGGAGGTGTCAGAGGGTTGATCAGTTCATTGGAAGGCAGAGGAAACGTGTGAATACGCTTTTATGCGGCCACTGTTTCTGTGTGTTTACATACAGTCACAAAGAATGCGCATTTTAAAATGGTGGTCCCACTTGCGCGTTAATTGTTAAAAGTGATCATTTGTTATGAATGAAAATACATTTCTTCATGATATATTGTTGTTAACTAAAGACCGTCGGACCATTTGCTAATGCTGGGCTTATATTTTTAAATTGAACTTCTATAAAGTTTAAATAATGTCTCTGAGGCAAATTCTCATTTTAATCAAGGTAGTTGATTCTATATAATTAAGTGATAATGATAAATCACGTTATGACTTGCTTATTTTTCTTTGATGTTGACACTTAGCTAATGAGATATGAGCCCAATATGGCCTTTACCCCATTGTATGTGGTAAATGTTCCCAGCATAAGATGTCTTGATAAACAGCAGCATTTGGTTGAACATTTTTTGTTTTTAAAAGATATGAAACTAATTATGGTGTTGGTATTTTTGTAACTGAATGAAGTTATTGTGTAGTAGGTACCTATAAATCTTTAAATGGCTTATTCTTTTTTTTAAGCTTTTATTTATTTTTTAGAGAGAGGGGAAGGAAAAGAGAAAGAGAGGTAGAGAAACATCAGTGTGTGGTTGCCCCTCACATGTCTTCAACTGGGGACCTGGCATGCAACCCAGGCATGTGCCCAGACTGGGCATTGAACTGGCGACCCTTTGGTTTGCAGGCCCACGCGCAATCCACTGACCTACACCAGCCAGGGCATACTGGCTTATTCTTTAATGTTTATTACTCTACAAAATCTAGAAGATAATCAGAAAAAGTAAAGGAAATTACTCCTAGTTCTTCTATTCAGACACAATGAGCTTTAATATTTAGCCATATTTTATCCCAATATTTATGTCATGCACATTTAAAAAAATAGTCATAAGTTTGATTTTGGTAGCTTTGCCCAGTCAAATGTGAGCTCTGCCCCACATCTTTGGAAACATGTACATCTTGGTTAAAAGCAACATCAAGAGGACCTAAGATGACTCGAATAATAACACCGTAGAAAGTAGAATGTCTAAGCAGAGGGGAAGGGAAAGACCCAACTTTTCAATGCGGTGGAGTGGGAGATAGTTCAAATTATGAAATCTTATAAAATGTTATAGAACTTACTTTTAAGTACTGAAAAGTGTAGCTGCCAAACGAATGTGCAGAGCCGTTTCATTAGTCATCTGCCCCGCTTTCTATCAGATAGTTGGTTCAAGGGGCAGCCATGATCTTCCAGAACTCAGCTGCCTCCAAACTCTTGTCCCTCCAGGAGATGCTGCCATAGAGGACAGCGCTTTTGTTTTACATGGTGACCCAGGGGCTAAGTGAAGAGGGCAGGGCTAGTTTTGAATCTTGACATGAACTGGCTGCTCATGCACCTTGGCTATTGTCAAAAGTACTGTGTGGTGGCAGTGGGGTCTGAACCAGGGTAGAAACCTCTGCTCAAACCCTGTCCCCTCCACCTCCCATCCCCAGAGGTCAGGGGCGTACAGCGTGGGTGATGAGAGGTCCAGCTTGTGCCCGCAGGCCCTGTCTGTCCTTAACTCTCTCACTAAGTCCAACCTATGGCAGGGTGAGCAAGCCACATCCAAACTTCCTTCTTTATAAATCATGCCATCAAATTGGTAGACTTTTCCTAGTGCATGATTTCCAGTTCCTGCCCCTTTGTTTCTATACACTTGCAGGGCCTATTTCAAAATCCAGATCGAATCACACCTTTCTCCAGGGATTTTACTGTTTTTTTTTTTTTTAAGTATTGCTCTCAGATGCTTGGTTCTCGCTCCATATCACCTCTTACTGTCAGGCGTCCCAGAGAGTGTCTGCTGTGCCATGTTTCCCTGGACAAGCTTGTAATGAGGGCCTGTGTACATTACTGCTTATGTAGATCTTGGGATTATGTGTATATTCTCAATATAGAGCACACTGTCAAGGACATATAGTCTTGCCTAATACATTTGCCTACTGTCTATATTAGATGTAGTCCTTTAATGGTTGAGAATTGTTTGATCTGCAATAAAACCCCATAAGTTTGCCCTGGTGTGTTTGGCTCCGTGGATTGAGCATCAGTCTGTGAGCTGAGAGGTCACTGGTTCGATTCCCTGTCAGGGCACATGCCTAGGTTGCAGGCCAGGTACCCCAGGAGGCACCTGACTGATGTTTCTCTTGCACATCAATGTTTCTCTTCCTGTCTTTATCCCTCCCCTCTCCAATATCTAAAAATAAATAAAATCTTTTTAAAAGCTCATAATTTAAAAATTATATCTCTTCCTGCATTCAATAATTTAAAATTCTTACTTTGAACGTTGATATTACATCATCAGAGCATTTTCTATTAACAGAATTTATGTTGGACTTGAATATAATTTTGCTAAAATATCCATTAATGATTGGAATTAATTATTTAAGTCGGGCTTAAATTACCAGAAGATATTGTGATTTAATCGGCAAGTCCCCTTGGTGTTGTAATGGGCGAGAGGAAAGTATGGCAGCATCTGTTTCTTAAAGCGTCTGTATTTAAACAGCCATCCCTATTTATTTTAACTAAACACGGCTTCTGATAGAGGGATGCTAAAGAAATTCCTTCGCCTTCTAGGGCTGTGTTAATTGCATATTTACATTTCTGTACTGCAGACTCAGATAACTGGCTTTAAATTGAGTTGCAGATTGAATTAAAGACATTTGTTTTTATGTATCTCTGGGACTTGAAATTCTGCCTGTAGCTGGTTGAATAATTAATATTACGTTTCACTAGTTTTCCTCTGCTAATCATTCTTGGGGGACCTTTATAACTTGCACAAACCACGTATTTGTATACAGTCAGTATATTATCGGTATGTCCATTACTGTAACACAGAAAGGCAGTCATTCCCGAGCGTTGGGAGACAGGGGGTTTGTGGCCGCTTTAAACTATTCCAGTCTATTTGGTGCATCATGTAACTGTTCAACAGTGACTCACCCTGATTTGAAATCTGTTAAGGTTGGAATAAAGCCAGCCCTGTTTGAGCATTTTTTTAGAGGACACTTTGGCTAGCCCCAAATGAAAGCTTTTTATAGGTACTTCTTGATGAGTAATCAGGAGTCTCAGTGAGTGTTTGCAGGGCGGTGTTTGTTATGGGGATGGTGACAGGTCCCCCGCTGAGGCCAGGGCGGGCAGCTACTCCAGAAGCCTCATTGCAGAAACTGTGGAGGCCCAGCCTTGGCCCTGGCACCTGGAAAATTGGCCTGGGGTGTCCCAACAATCTGTGGCATCCAGTGAATGAGGCATTGTCACATTAGTCATTAGCTCCAAACTGGAAAAAAATTACTGATGTTGGTTTTTAAAATGGAAAATATGAATGAAACCATATACTCTTGATTATAACAGTAGTTTGAATAGAATATCAGTGTGGAACCCTACATAATATACATACGTGTACAGATGGGTGGATGGAAGGGAGGAAAGGAAGGAAGGAAGGAAGGGACATTGGCCATTTTCCTGTCACTTTATTATTTTATGTTATTTTTTAAACTGAGGCCTGGACAGAGACTGGCCTTCGCTGGCTTCTGCTGCTATTTTTTATAAAGGTTTTATTTACTTATTTTTAGAGAGAGGGGAAGGGAAGGAGAAAGAGAGGTAGAGAGACATCAATGTGTGGTTGCTCTCATGTGCCCCCAACTAGCGACCAGGCCTGCAACCCAGGCATGTGCCCTGACTGGGAATCGAACTAGTGACCCTTTGGTTTGCAGGCCCACACTCAATCTACTGAGCCACACCAGCCAGGGCTTTCCTTTCATTTTAACTGATGTTTCGACATCAACTCCCCAAGGAAATAGACACTTTTTCCTCTGTGGCATTTTCTTCTTGTTAAAAAACCTCAGAGGTGTGAGTTCTCTTGTTTTCTCCTCATCTCACTTGCTAACAGACTTTCCCCTTCCCACCC